CTGTACGGGGTACCCCCAAGGGGGACCAAAATATAACCAAAATATAACTTCAAAAACATCGTTTTATAGTTTTTGGCTTCTTTTGCAATATAAAAAATGTAAAAGTAACCCGTGTTTTTTTTCTATCTTGATCATATATTCGGATTCAGCTGCAAAAAATATATATAATTGTTATATTTTGGTCCCCCTTGGGGGTACCCCGTACAGATTAAAATACCGTAAAACCTCACTTCTATAGAAAACCTGATTTAGCGACCCAAAATCCATAGGATGTGACTACTCTAGTCCGACGGACATCCTACTTTAATTTTTTTGTGGGGCTAGAAAAAAACTGGACACGAATGGAAAAGCACCGAAAACCATTAAAAAGGAATAAAATACAAAAAAAATAACTTTTTTGTGCTCATACCTAGTAGAGCCTTGTAATGCTTGTAACCAGACAATAATTAAATATGATAGAAGCATATAACATATAACCAATTTCGTATTTCCTTAAATAAATCCATATCTAATTTCAAACTTCTGCTGTAGTCATCTTCTGAATTCTAATAAGATAGAATTGCGTTTCATATGCAGGTTTACTTGCAATGCACCTAGTAGTGTTAATTAAAAAGATAAAATTGCAAACTTACCTACAGCATTTTTTACTTGGTTTATTTGCAATAGTAGTTTATTTGTTGCTATTTATAAGCATTACCTTTTAATTTAAATACAGTCATAAACTATGAATACCTACAGTGTTCTTGCGCACAGCTTTAAAATAAGTAAACGCTGCCAAACGAGATTGGTCTTTTTACGGATAGATGGTGCCAGGGGTATTTTGTTTGCGAATATATCGACGTTCGCGTAAAGGAACATTGTATCTCGATTTTTGCCAAAAAATAATTAAGATCCTTTCCATATTTAAAAGTATGGTCTTTTTCAACTTATTTATTCGAAAAAAATACTTTTATATAAAAAAATGCCAAAAAATTGATATACGGTATTCTTATTTGCTAACGTCGATATACTTATTATATACATATAATATGTATACATATTAATAATAAAAGAAACGCTTAAAATTTGAAAACGGACTTCTATAAGTAAACAAGTGAGAGCGAATTCAGATTTCTTGTGATGAGGATTTTTTTCTTGCAAGCGAGTATTTTGTCTCTTTTAGAGAATTGCTGGCGCAGTCTGAATATTGATATTAATATTCTTTATGATCTGTGTCAATAATAAGATTAATAGTTGATATTATGATCTGCCCTGTTTAATCTGATGAGAAATGACCCTGTATTATATATTATATACATATATGTATTATATATTGGCTAGGATAACAAAAACACCTTATTTTGAAGGTTTTACGATAATTAATTACCGAGAAATTAATTATTGTAATTTTTAAATTTTTCTTAAGATGTGCCATTTGTTTCTTAATTTTGTAAATAACTCCTTATCTGTTATTAAATTGAAAGATTGTTTCTAGGGGTAACTTTTTAAGATGATTTCAAAAGATTAATCAGAATTTGTTTCTTCCATTGTTTTTCCTAAGAAAATTTAATTTTTTTCGGCATGTTTGTTTAGGACCACATGTTTTAAATTTTTATATGTTGTAAAGAATCTTAGGTAAGAAAAATGCTTGTTTTAAAAAATTATTTAAAAACAAGTAGTCTTGATCAAACATATATAAAAAAAATCTTGATTTTATTAAGCAAATGCCATGCTCATGCAAAAACATAGAGGAAACACAAATTCTGATTACATTTGATGAAATCAACTTAAAAAGTTACCCTTAGAAACAAACTTTCAATTCAATAACTTGTACAATTTAAGGAGTTATTATAGAAATTATTGGCACCACTCAAGCAAAGTTTGAGCGCAATATGTCAATCGGCTTCATCAGCTTTTTATTTTACGTGCTTAAGATTTTTGTTTTTATGTTAATTGATTTAAAAGCCTTTCACGAAGTGCTAAATTCAGTTTGGGAAAAAGGAACGTGCTTACCAGATCCATATCAGAAGAATACGGAGCCTGAAAAAAGTTGTTGCTTTTTCCGCCGTTTTATATATGTATACTATTTTTTTCAAGCATTTATTTATTTAGCACTTAGGTACAGGGTGATCCCCTATAATGTCACCCCCCTTTAACTTTTTTATTTTAAGTGTCCCAAAAACATTAAAAGTGTGGTTATGTAGGAACTAAAAAATACTTTTTTTCTACGTATAAAGAAAATTGGAAAATTGATCAGTATACAGGGAAAAACAAAAAGTTAATTTTTTTCAATGGATCACCCTATATATGAATTTATTTTTCGATTCCTTGTAAAATTCTAAGCATATTTCATATGGGTTAATCTCAAAATAACTACAATCTTTGCGTGACGTGTGTTTTTTTCACCCATATTAAAAAAAATAGGAAAAATAAATAACATTTTCAAAGTACACAACGTTAACTAACAGTACTTTAAGTAAAAAAAAATAAGAAAAAAAATACCGCCCGAAAAACTGATCTGAATAGAGTTATTGTCCTTTCCGTGGAACGTGACTATATCGTGTTGGTAAGTTTCAGTTAATGTAGTGAAAAGCCTGCATATTAAAAAAACCTAAAAAATTGTCATTATTATTAAATACCCCAAAAATACATAGATATGATTCATATTCCTTTTTATTCTTTTTAATTTAATATTGTAGTATAGTCATTTATACGTTACCAGTTTCGATCCATTCCGAGGACTTATATGTAAGTGCAAAATTTCAAAAGTATTTCGCGCCACTCATGTCATCAAAATACCTGTCATATTTTATTTAAGTCGCCCTTGTCAGTTCTTTTTTGAAAGGTTGTTAAGAAGCGTTCATGTTTATGTACGAGGCTCCAGTGTAGAAGCATAGGCTGCCCTTTCTGTTACAATTATATTTCAAACCGTAAGTATTGAATTATTTTCTCATTATTGTCATTATTATTGTCAAAGTTTCTATTTTGCGAAGGCATAACCTAAAATTTATCTTTCTTATAGAGAATAATATACATAGATGTCCATTCAGTGGACGTCTTTTCTGTGCACATAATTTGTCCACGGAATGGACGGCTTGTCCACAGAAATAACGTCACACACGATTCTAGCCATATTATACAAATACTTAAGGTGTTTCACAGGAAAAGTCATAAATTAAGTAATTATATTGTTTTTAAGTTAACCCATTTACAAAAATCAGGGATAAATATCGTCAATTTTAACCCTTACATGCGTTTAAATGACGGCTCTACTAACTTATGCATTTAATCACTAAATTATGCACACAAAAAATACTATTTGTATGAAAAAATTTTAAATTATAAATTTTTTATTTTTTTAAGGTTTTTGTAGTCCATTTTTAGCAAAGTTAATTTATAATTGATTATGTTCTCATCCTAATCAATAATAAAATTTTTATGTAGAAGCCTAATGAACCATGTTTTATCGACATTTTATACGTTATTATTATCAAAAATATATCGAAGAACACAATAATTTACTATTTATTTTACTAAATTTACTTGCAAAATAGTAATAAACTATAATTTAAGTAAAAATCTGGTATAACAAATATTTTTTTTAGGATGGTATTTTGTGGTTTTGTCAATCTCTCAAATCCCCGGCTCCTAGCCTGCAAAACACCTTAATAAGCTATACCGGTTTCCAATCATCTCTCTATTTCTCCTTTATTTTTAGTAAAATATGGCGAGGGCCAAAATTAGTTTAAGTGCTGAAGAAAAAAAGATACGAAGAAGAGAACAGAAAAGAAAAAGTATGAGAAAAGTTCATGAGCAAATGAAAAATGATCCTATTAAATATGAGGAAACCAAACGAAAAGATAGAGAAAGATACTATAGGAAGAAAGAAGATGGACGTATTAAACCTGTGTCAGAGATGACTCCAAGGCAAGCGAGAGTTCAGAGAAAAGTGTGGCGTGAAGATAAAAAAAAATACCGGGCCTCAAAAAAGGCAAAAGAAAAATTGGAAAATTTTATTTGCAACAGTACATCGGCTAGTCCTCTCCCAGAGAATCCTGGTCCCTCACGTCTGCTCAGAGAAAATATTTTGGCCGTAAAATAGCTATGAAGAACCGAATGCAACTAAAAAGAAAAATACAGAAGTTTGAGAAAAAAGTTGCTGATCTGAAGAAAAAGAACAAACGACTAGAAATGAAAGTATTAAAAAGAAAAACATAAAACAGTCATCTCCTATTAAGGCCGTTGAAAACATACTAAATGGACAAAAAGTAACCAAAACTGTAAAAAAATTGCTCTTTAATGAGGTACTGCTTAAACGAATTAGAGAAAATGTAAAAAAAGAAAAAAGTCGCAAAAAGAAAAAAGAAATGATAGAATTAATATCAGGCAATGAAATCGAGAGATTTAAGTTTAAGAAGTACCTTTCTAATGAAACAGGGTTAAGATCACATAGAAAGAATAATAAAAGATATGATTGTGCACTCAAATGCAAAGAAGCTGTGTTAAATTTTCTGGAGCTTGATGAAAATAGCAGATTAACTGCTGGAAAGAAAGAAACTGTTACTCAAAAGAAAATTAAAAAAACAAATTCGGCTTCTTAATGATAGTATGTTTAACTTACATAAAAAAATTTTGACAGAAAATAAACACTTTAAGAAAGTTAGCTATTCGACCTTTTGTAAACTAAGGCCTTTTTGGGTAACTATGTTAAGTCCAGAAACACTTGTTTGTGTCAAAGTCACGAAAATGCACTTTTATAGTCATTGCTCTAAAAAAGTATAGGATCATAAACGAATCTACTCCTGAAGAAGTAATCAGAAATATCTGCTGTGATGGACAGTTAAAGGAAAAATGTCTGGAGCGAGTATGTGTAGACTGCAAACAAAAAAAACCTAAATATAATAATTAATTAGAAAGATGGGTTGTGAAGAAGTATGAAGTTGTGATAAAGGGAAAAAATAAGACATGCAAGAAGATAATTAAAGAATCAGTCCAATGCTCAAAACAACAGTTCACTCCCAGTTTTTATGAAACATTGTTGTAACATGATTCATCAATTTAGAGCAACAAAACAAATTAAAAACGAACTTACAAGGAACGACGCACTTTTACATATGGATTTCTCAGAAAACTATAATTGCAAATATGGAAGTGAAATACAATCAGCACATTTCGGTGGAGCTAAACCACAAATATCATTGCATACGTCTGTGTTGTATTATTTCAATGAATCCGAAGATAAAGTAAGCTCTACCCTTTTGTACATGTTCGGAGAATCTAAATCACGACCCTGTTATGATATGTGCTCATTTAAACCCAATCTTAGACGAAATTCTTAAAATAGTCCCCAAACTTAAATGCATTCACTTTCTCAGTGATAGTCCGTCAACGCAATATAGAAATAAAACTATGTTTTAACTGATGGCTGAGTATTTGTTGAAAAAATTAAATGTTGACTGTATGTCCTGGCACTATACTGAGAGCGGCCATGGAAAGGGAGCACCCGATGGAGTTGGTGGGTGTTTAAAGAGAACTGCTGATTACATTGTAGCTAAAGGACAAGACGTCTCAAATTTCAAAGAACTAATTCAATGTCTAACCTCCAACTGCAAAGGCATAAAAGTTATTCCTATAACTGACTCGGTAGTTCCTGACATTCAAAGTTTGGTAAGTGATCCGCAAACTTTTAAAGGCACGATGAAGATCCACCAAGTAAGCTGGTCTAGAATAACAGCAAATATCATACATGCAAGAAGGCTCACTTGCAAGATGTGTCTGCCAGAATATAATTGTCCACATTATGGAATCGGAAAAATCCCAGTATTGCCTAAGCATACAAAAGTGGCATATTCAGATGTCTATTCCTCGGATTCATCTGATTCTTAAAAATCAATTTTAATAATTTTGTTCCAAATTCTTCTAAAAGTTATAATTCATAACTGCTTATAAAGATTTATGGCCGTATGCACAAACGTTGATTTAATTAAATCAGAGATTTAGCATAGTAGTTAACTTAGGTACTTTAGTAAATTTGGCAACAAAGCACTTTTAAATGTATATTAATCTACGATTAAACTAATTAATCATAGATCAATACGTATTAATTGTGCTATGTTTCCCAAATTTACTAAAAACCTAAATTAACTGATACTCTAAATCTTTGATTTAATAAAATCAACGTTTTTGTATACGATGTTATTACATTAGGTTTACATCAGTTTAAGTAAGATGTAGTTTATATTTATTAATAATCAAGTTTCATTTTTGCAAAGTATTGTTTTATTTTATAAGGAATGTCCTATCCGTGGACAAATATGTCTTTTCGGTGGACATTGATTTTCCAAATTTACCCATAAATAGAAAAATTAAGGTTTGCATGCAATATCAACCTTATTTTAGTTTAGGATTAAACTTAAGCTTTACAAAAATGCTCTTGTAATAATATTACCAAACTTTTTAGTATTAAAAAAATAATAAACCGAAAGTGTAGTTATTTTGAGAATCACCCATATATCATACCATATACCTAAATTCAACCGTTTCTGAAATATTTAAATTATTTTTAAGATAATAAGTTGAAATAGTTTGTCTTTCTCTGTCTGAGTACGCCATTTTTACTTATTTAACAACACTTATTGACATAATGTTACTAAAGTAATTTATTTTCAAAAAAATTTTGGTATACTGAGGCTTCTTGATTTCTAACAGTTTAAAAAACATTTAATAATGACATTTCGAATGCGAATATTTTAGAAACGGTTGAATTTAGGTATATGGTTTGTATATAAATTATGCTCAGAATTTTACAAGGAATCGAAAAATAAATTTAAATATAGGGTGATCCAATGGAAAAAAATAAACTTTTTGTTTTTCCCGGTATACTGATCAATTTTCCAATTTTCTTTATACGTAGAAAAAAAGTATTTTTTAGTTCCTACATAACCACAATTTTAAATTTTTTGAGACACTTAAAATAAAAAAGTTAAAGGGGGGCGACATTATAGGGGATCACCCTGTACATTAAAATTGTAAAAGTATCAAACGTTAACATAATTTGTAAATGAATTTATTTTACAGTGACCTGTAATTTCGAGCTAAATGCCATAGATGAAACCACTCTTCCTGTGTAATTTTAATGTATTTTCATTATTGTACGGCGGTGTATAATAAATTTGACTTTTAAACTGAGTACAACTATGAAGTCTTTCTATAATCTATGTTAAATTCCTTTTTCTATAATTATATATACTTATTATAGGCTATTTCTATAGAATATATTATACAGTGCTTGCATATCCAAGTCCGACCGGTTTGAGAAGGACGCGTGAAAATAACAAGGATAGAACGCCAAACAGAAGGCGCTTACAATACGCACGCCTGACGCTCTGACCAATCAAATTCTGTTTGGCATTCTATCCTTATTCTTTTCACGCGGGTATTGAACAACCATCCTTTCCAACGCGGTCGGACTTGGATTTGCAAGCACTGTATATAATACAGTGTGTCCGCGGATGGACTTAACTATATATAGTATACTTGTAAAAAATATTTATTTTCAATTTTTCGAGGAAAACTAATTTTTCATAATTTCTTTTTCTTGTTATTTAAATACGATTCGCGTTGAGAAATATCAATTTTGTTGTACAGGGTGAGCAAAAATACTAATTTTCAAAATTAAAATTTTTAAGATTTTTTTTTAAGCGCCAAGGTAGCAGTATTCAGGCGAGTATATCGATGGTTATTTGACAAAACATCGTAAGCAACAATTTTGTTGAATTACTTTTTATTTTATCAAAGTGTTACGATAAGCTGCACATTTTAACATTATAGTTATCCCAATTTTGTAATCTAATATTGGTAAGTTTGAATATTTTTATTATTGTAAGCGCCCCTTCTTATTAATTTATTACCGATTTAGAACGTAAGAGCCTGTAGGCTTTATATATATATTTTTTCGACAAATAATCGTAAGCAACTCGAAAACATGGCGTTTGCGATTTGACATTGTGTCGCTTACGATAATATTTTGCTCCTGGCTTGATCTATCAAGGCGTTATTCCCGTTCTAAATAGTTTATTCGTGAGTATACCTCATACCTTATAATTACTTTTTTTCATTGCATTATTAATATTTATATATTTATATAATTAAAATTTTTGTTACTTAGTGTGGTTGGTTAAAAGTGTTTTATGTAGTAATTTTATGTTGTTCTAGCGTACAAAAATGTTTGGCTCAATTTTTTAACGGTTAGATACTGGTACCATGGGTTGGATACTGGTTTGTGGATCGTAGAGATGGATATAACGGTTCTGCTTATGTCATTCACATGCATGTACGATCCACATGCTACGCTAGATAAACCTTTTTATATAGAAAGCAATAGGGAAAACTATTTTACGAGGTGAACATATCGCCTTAATGGAAATGGATATTGAGAATCATAAAAAACAAGTTAGCAATACCGGGACAGATTTTGTGACTCTTGCAAGAAGATCCAAGTCCGGTTCAAATGACATCGGAAAAAAAAATAGTTTTCAAAATATGAAAACGAATTTACAAAATAGTCTTGTCGATTATTCATATAGCCCCGATTCGGATAATTTAGAGACTAAACATACTTCAAGAAGCACAAATTGTTTCGAAATAAAAAAACCACCAATACAAAATTTCAAAAGATTTGACTTAAATTATTTATTCCATGACAACAAAGATTCAGATTTTTTCTATTCAAGCTCAGAAGACAATGTTGTTGGAGAGGCTTGAAAAAATCTAAAAAGGTGGGCAAAAAGTATAAGAAAGATGAAAAAGGCTTTAGGTAGCAAAAGATCAGTTCAGGAAAACCCAAAACTATTACTGGGGCTTAGGTAGCTACTCCAGGCAAAGAGACTGGCTTTTATCATGCATTAAGGAAAAAGAAATTAAGCGAAGACGGGTTAACACAGAAAACAAATGACTCTAAGGTACACAAAAAGCAATGCTCGAGACCAAATATTTGCTGAAATAGATCAAAAAGGCAGGCACGAACCTCCTCATAAAACAAGTAAAGAAGATAGAAATAGTATACATGAATTTATCGAAAAACTTCCTGCTGTCCCATCTCACTATTGTAGAGCATCCACAACTAAAAAATACCTATCCTCTGAGCTTAGGAACGTAAAATTTCTTTACCGAGTTTTTGTAAAAGATGACCTTAAATTTTACAGACGAAAAACTAAAGTGCCTTTAAAAGTATTTCGACAAATTTTTAACAATAACTTTAATATTGGGTTCCATATGCCAAAAAAAGCTGTAAAGGTTACAGATGTTGAAGAAAGTAAATATCAGAAGCATTTAAAAGACAAAGAAGAAAGTAAAACCCAATTTCTATTAGATCAAAATATTTCAAAAAATGATAGTTTAATTAGGTTTTGGTAATCCATTTTTAGCAAGGTTTATGGAATGTTTAATTTTTAAAAATAATGTATACTTCCTTGCTTGTTTATATTCTTTATTTGCGACTAGTTTCGGTTATACACCATCTTCAGGCAAAAATGTCAAGTTTTAAAATATGAGTTAAAATAGAATAATATATTACGAACATAGAAGTTTTAAACAATTTTTACACTTTATAAATAAATAAAACATAAAACATTTATTTATAAAGTGCAAAAATTGTTTAAAACATCTATGTTCGTAATATATTATTCTATTTTAACTCATATTTTAAAACTTGACATTTTTGCCTGAAGATGGTGTACCTATAACCGAAACTAGTCTCAAATAAAGAATATAAACAAGCAAGGAAGTATACATTATTTTTAAAAATTAAACAGATAATAGTTTTGTATGCTCTAGCTTTAATCTACTAAAAGTTTTAAACACTCTACAAGGAGACAAAATGCTACTATATTATTCTCGAAAATATGAATTTTATAACGAAACCATTTACAAAAGTGAAAAAAGAAATGCAATATGTTATTTATGGGGTGAAATGGATTGATGTCGTGGCACCAATGAGATAAGTACAATTATTTACAAATATTTAGAGAAAGTTGACGGACAAGAAAAACTATCCCTTTATTGCGATAGCTGTTCTGGGCAAAATAAGAACAAGCCGTATAGAAAGATTCATTAAGAAGCGAATAGTTTGGTCTCCATCACAGTGGTCAACATTAATTAGCAATGCAAGAATAAACCCAAAACCTTTTGAAGTGGTGATGTTAAAACATTATGATTTCATGTCCACGGGATATTCAAAAACGGTAGACGGAGCCATATTTCAATTTAAACAATTTAAAGTAGTTTTCCTTAAAAAAGGCAGAGATGAAATTCAAATTAAATATTCCTATTCACGCGGATATTTTGGTTTTATCACTATTCAGCGGAATTGTAAAAGGTGAAATTTTTTTCTTGTTATTTTTTATATACAATTTTTTTAATACAGTTCCATAAAGCAGATTTATCTATGTAATTGCATAGGAATTTTGGAATTAATATTTTTATTGGCTTTAGGTAAAACAAGTAAAACTGAAAAATATGTTTAGAAAGAGAAGCTGTCTATCCACAACCTTTAAAAATTTCCCCTTTGAAATAAAAGACCTTATAAAACTCTGCGACAAAAAAATTATTCCTTGTCAATATGTAGAAGAATATAAAAAGTTTAGGGGCACTCGTGTTTAAGGTAGTTAAAGTTTGATTAATTTATGATAAGCCAGCATCTTTGACTGTTTCTGAGTGTGAAAAGTAACCAATTTCTTTAATCTTTGCGGCCAACAACAGATTATTGTTAGAGTTAAATGCATATTGTCTCCAAGGTTAAATGGCCCATAAAAACAAACAAAGATGTAAAAAGTTTAGCTCAAAACAGTAACACCAAAAAGATATTTAACTTAAAAATATTATTAACAATATTTATAAATATTTATAAAAGTGACTTTAGCTCATCGGTCAGACATCCGCTTGACAATAGTTAAACCCCGGCTGGGTCAGAAAACTTTTATTAATTTAAATCTTAATTTGACTATTTCATTCAGTACAATTTGACTTATTATTATTGACTGATTTTTCGCTATGACAATTAGTTAAACATGACTTATAATTTGTTATTTTTGACTAATTTATTTTAAGAGAGCACATTTTCCGCGGCGACAATACAAAGAAAAAGCTTGGTTCACAAATTGATGACGCAACGGAAAACATTTGC